CTGGCAGTATCGATACACCCATATATTGCAATAGGGAAAGTCGAACTTTGATACCCCATCATCTTGTCATGTCCGTCCATTGAATATGTCCAATTTGGTCCAAGGGTTACAAAGTGACCTTTGGGTTTTTTCTTCTTGGCACCAGGAGCTCTTCTAGCTAAGCCATCCGGATCAAGATCGAACATCAAATCATGAACACGAGCTCTAGGGACTTTTAACTCGTACTTCTGGCGTATCTTTTGGGTCATCGCCCTATAACCAAGCATTACTCCTGGGCCATCAAGCTCTTTCCTAACTGCTTCCCTTGCAACGTCCAGAGGTACATCGCGATCAATATAATTTATTCCAAAATGTCTCAATCTACGATCTAGAGTTCTCAAACTCCACTTATAAATGCAATATTTCTTTTTCATAAAGTCGAGAATCTCCAACCGCTGCATGTTCGTTGCTACGTATTTCTTCAAATCCTCCTCCAGTTTACTGTCACTTTTCCAAGATCCTCTCTCGCCCGCCATGTTGTTTTTTTAATGCGGTTATGCAATAAACTGTATCGCTGGCTCAGAAAATTAATTATTTGTAATCGCATCTAATTATTTTTTGGCAGTTGGCAGTTCTGGGCCACGTGGAAAACGTTTTGTTTTTATTTTAATAAGCTTCATGTTTTTACATTAAAATCAATTTTATAAAAGATTTAAATTTATTTGAAAAAAAAAGTAAAATTAATTTGGCAGTTCTGGGCCACCATACACGTCATAATCAGGATCGCAACAATACAGCAATAACATGCTATTTTCACGAAGTATTGCAGCCTGACAATCTTGTCTTTCGAATGCTTTCATATTTGTTTACTCAGAGAGATGTTCACTCCACGACAGCCAAAGAGTCATTGAAGCCACGCCTGGAATTAGGCGCTCAAACCCATGATGCTTTGCGGCCTGCTTGTCCGACCTCCTCTGAGTAGAATACTAAATAAGATTTATTTTGGACGATGGCTACTGTATGTATACAAAATTAAAATTAGAGTATGGGTTACAGTCAATTTTTCAATATATAAAATAAGTCCACAAGTCAGTGATTTAGTTACAATCCATTCCACAATTTCCAAACCTTGCCAAAAATGGCCAATGACAACGTGAATTATAAATAACGAACATTCAGCTAGTGAAAACTAAAATACCAGTCACTTTTCTATGACAATAGAACACGTCTTATTGCGTATTATAGTACATGTTCTACCCAGTGTAAGTTTGAAGATGTTGATTATGATGCATATCAAGTCCATTGTTCGTATAACAGGTACTGTACTCACGCACGTTGTTAGCTTGATTACGAGTATTCGAACAGGTGCAATGTACCGTACAGCAAAGTACTGCTTTAAGTACTGTGCATCTTTCTTAACTATCAAGTCTTCCTTGCCGCGTTACCTTTTCTTCGTACTGGTACGTGCGACTTCGTTGAGTAGCTGTCAG